AGGTACTGGCCATTGTTTTACTGCAGCTGTTTTGTCTGGGTCAGTCGCTACACCTTCCTCTGACACAACATGTCCAAGGTAGGTTACCTTTTTGGCAAACAAGCAGCATTTCTTTGCTTTGAGTTTAAGGCCTGCATTCTGCAGTCTGTTGAATACTTTTCTAAGGTTTGCCAACATTTCCTCAAAGGTTTTGCCTGTCACTATCACGTCGTCCAGGTAAACAAGACAGATATCCCAGTGAAGGCCTGCCAAAACACCTTCCATTAGGCGCTCAAATGTTGCTGGAGCACAACATAAGCCGAATGGCATGACCTTAAACTGGAATAGTCCACGACGTGTGGCAAATGCTGTCTTTTGTTTGTCGTCTGGCTCCATCTCTACCTGCCAATATCCTGAGCAGAGATCTAGAGTAGAGAACCACGAGCTACCGCTTAATTGATCCAGTGACTCGTCTATTCTGGGAAGGGGGTATGCGTCCTTGATTGTACAGCTATTTAACTTGCGGTAATCAATGCAAAAGTGGAATGTACCGTCCTTCTTTTTCGCTAGCACAATAGGCGCTGACCACGGGCTGTTTGATGGCTCGATCACACCTCTCTCAAGCATATCATTCAGCTGTTGGTCAACCTCCTCTGTTAGATGAGCTGGTACTCTCCTTGGTGGTATCTTGATAAGGTGACTGTCCCCAGTATCAATCCTGTGTTTGACAATACCTGTGCGCCCCAAATCTTTATCAGATTTTGCAAAAAGATTGGTATATTCATACAAAAATTTGTTAGCTTCCCTTTTCTGTTTCCGTGTCAAGTAGTTCGAAGTTTTCTTCAGCATATCAACCAAATCAGGTCTTAACCTCTTAGGTTTGCTTGACGTATTCTCCTCTTGTGACTCAACCACTCTGACTTCACTGAGTTGTCCAATAACCGTACCTGCGTAAATGACTTTGGATTCCTCGCCAACATTGAGGAAACGGACTGGTACCATCTCCCTTGGTATGACCAGTGTTCTGGCTGTGATGTAGCCTTCTCTTGGCATATCAGATACAAATGGTTCTACCAAACACGTATTCCTTGGAACATGTTTGCAGTCCTTCAAGACTTGTCCCTGCGTGATGATCTCACTTCTAGGAGGTATGCTGACTATCTTTGTTGCGGTTATTCTGTTGCAGCCAATATAACCCTCAACAAATATTGGTATTATCTTATCTCTTATGTGAAGTACCTTTTGGCTCATGTCAACCATGCATGCATTTGATAGTAGAAAGTCAAGCCCCAGTATTTCATCTGCCTGAATCTCCGCAATGACAGCAGTAGTGTGCTCTACCACACCCTCAATATTAAGTGTTAAGTCCGTCTTACCCTTGACAGAGAGCTCACATCCATTGGCAGCTAAAATACTCTGGTTAACCTTCCGCAGCTTTGGTCTGATGACCTCTGCAATTTTCTCGTATATTGCTGAGGACAACAATGTCAGTGTTGCCTCTGTGTCAATCAGGAATTTAGCTTGGACACCTTGCACAGAGATGTCTATGTACATGCCTGCTTCCTCTAGGGATGATCCAACTCCAATTGATCCACTTGGACAGGCTGACGTCTGTTTACTTCGTACTGGCCTGCCTAATCCCATTTTGTCTTTTGATTCCTTATGTTCACTTTCACAAGGTTGTCTCTTTAGCCTTGGGCAATTGCGTTTTATGTGGCCTTCCTTGTTACACTCATAACAACGCAATGGTTTGCCTCTTGCTTGTTTGTCATTAGCTCTATTGACTGACCGTTTCAGCTTTAGTTTGTGAATCTCGTTGGTTAAGGTACTCATGTTAGCCTCCATGGACTTCATCCATGTCTCAAGATTCTTCTGGCTAACCTCAGCAGATGAGTGCTCTGGTGCCGATAATCGTAAATGGCCTTTTCCTTCAAGGTTTCTGCTCTCTGCTCGATTATAAGCCTTGAGTTCAACGGCTAGCCGGATGGCTTCATTCAGGTTTTGAGGACGAGATTGTTTTATGCGAATTCTCATCTCTGAATCTACCAAGGCATCAATGAAGCATCTTTGGCCAGAGTTTCTCGCACATCACCAGGTGCTGATGCGTAGGCCAAATTGGTTAGTCGTCTAATGGCCTGACCTAACTCTGGTATTGACTCAGATGCTCTTTGCCTTCGCTCTTTTAGCTGAACACGATACAGATCTGTTTGATTAGGAGGGGAAAACCTCTCCTCAATGGATCTGACGAGGGTCTTATAGTGCTGTCCAATATCGCTTGGCAAGTCACCTAACACTGATTGTGCTTGGCCACGCAGTGATACAGCTAAGTAAAGACCTTTCTTTTCTTCTGCCCAGCCATTTACAACAGCGCAAGCCTCAAAATGTGACTTGTAGTCAAGCCAGGAACTGGTTCCATCATACGTGGCTGGCTTGATAATTTGGCCTGTCTTCGCATTGTCTGTCCCTATTGCCTGCCTCCGTGGTTTTGGCGTGTCAAACAGATGTCCCGTCACAACGTCGTCAACCCCAGCATTTGGTGTGTAGCTTTGTTTGCCTTCGTCTGGAAATCTAACTTTAGGCAGTGCGCCGTACTCGTCAAATGACACATTTCCTGACATACCGGCCGGTTGATTGTCAGTTCTGTGTGTTGCATATCCAGACTCTTGGCTTGACGCATTTGTCTGACCATCGTTGCTGGTTGGCGTTCTCATCTTTGATAAGAGCTTCTCCATTCGCTCTATAGTTTCTGACAATTTCTTGGACGAATCCAAAATCCCGACGCTTGTCACCAAATAATGTAACGTGCAACGCGGCCGAGCTTGTGTGTGTTTGGTGATAATATGTCTTGTATCACCGAGGCGTTACACTCAGGTTAGTTAACCTGTTAACTCAGATTTTTGTTGACCAAATAAAATCACAATCAAATATATACAAATACAATGCAAATATAAACGGGTTTCCTCTTGATTGGACAATCACTAACTGTGGTCAACGGGTGTCTCCCGTAAGTAGATTTCTTCGGTCCTGCCACTTCTTACTGTACTGACTCCTGGCACTTCCCCCACTTCTCACTGTGGTATGCCACCTCTCTCGATCTATACTACCAAGTGACTGCCTTGTTCAGGTCTTAGGCTTTTGGGTAGTCTACAACACTTAGATGTCTATCCCCCGCAACTGTCTGCCTTATTCAGGTCTTATGACCGTGTGTAAGAGGAGAAACAAGCTAAGGTTTCACAACTCCGTCACCAGAGAGGTTTCATAGGTCCTGCAATACAATTAGTATTATCCCAATGCAGTCTCTGTATAGTGGCAGATTCATACTACTTGTGTGATCGTGAAATTAATATTTTTTAGTGTTGAAGACTTTGAAAGATAACGTAGGTCTAACGTTAATACGAAACTAAACAATGAAAATCAACTTCTGTTTCACATGCATAGGTTGTACTGTACACGCATATGTGGCTTGTCAACGAAATAGGCAATGTAGCGGTAATGTATACTTTTTTTATGTAGCGGAAATGTAAGGTTTTTTGTAGCGGTAATGACTATGTAGTGGTAATGAAAATTTTGAAAATGTAGCGGTAATGATACGCACCCTTTATAAGATGTTGATCGGGACGATATTTTTACGTTCAAAAAAGATTTTTTTTTTATGAATTATAAAAACAGAGGGTGAAAATAATTTCGCTTAAATTGTGATAATTTACGGTGAAGTGCAAAAATAACTTCGGTGAATTTTAGAGCTCAATAGCATGAATAGGGAGTATTGCGCCTCAGATGACTCTATGTTTATCCCAAATTTATCTATTTGTATGTTTCAATTCAAGCAGAACGCTTCCTTCTGTTTTGTTTAATTGTATGCTGTTGTTCTATCCCTTGCCTGCGATCGACATTCAATACAAAAACATGTAGGTCAAGATCTCTGCTGCAGCCAGTTGTTTACATTTTACCCTCGCTAAAATAGTTCAGATCGTAAGGATATTATTTGTATCTTATTCCACTCAGGAACTTGTATTTAGTATTTGTAAATCCATAAAACACTACTTATTGCTTGGAAATTAAATTGAATACATTGTAGATCTTGTTTTGTGACTGAAATTGTAATTTCAATTTATGCATAATCAGAGGACTACATGTATATTTCTTAGAGAACTGATAAAAATTATCGTTAATATTTCCAATCATTCTTGCAAGTGCTATTGTTTACATATTAGCAACCTATCTCTGATATGATTCTTGCCTTCTAGGGTGTCATATTTTTACAGCAAGATTACTGAATTGTCCCAAAGAGCTAAGATCAAGAAGGAAATGCAAATGGTAGTGATCACAGGGGTCCGCCATTAAACCATAGAATATATTAATAGCTATCGAGGCCAACTTACGTCACCTCGACAAAATAACATTCTATAGTATAATTTTATTTCTTGGCCACGAATTTTATTTCATTCCCACGCATTTTTTTCATGGCCACAAATTTTATTTCGTTTCCACGAATTTTTATTTCGAGGCCACGAATTTTTATTTCTCATACCATGTCCTATACCTGCCACCGTAAAGTCCTCCTTGTGATGTAAATATTTTCTGGATATATTACCTTTTGTTCGATTCTTTTGCGAATACTTTCAAGACCTGGTATTAGGTATTGTCGTGCTTCATCTGAGCTTAAAGAAGAGTTTTTGATGTGTGGTATGAAGATTGGTCGCTTTGAATATTGTTTCTCGCTAAAACAAAAGACAAAAGCGTTTTCGAGGACTTTGTAAATACGGATTGATAATGCATCTAAAATTTAAGCGATGAATTCAAAAGTCCCTTTTTATTTTAAAACAACTAATATTACCACCTCATTTTATTCAACATTTATGATTATACAGTCTACTAAATATAAAAAAAATCTTCTTAAAATAAGTTTAAATGGTTGTGTTTTATACATTGCAACATATAGACAGCTAGAATGTACAATTTGTATTAACAATATTTCCTTGATATTCAGAACTAAAAAGATATTCATTTAATTTTTTCAGTTCCACCCGAGGTAGTGGGCAAGGGTATTGAAGCTGTCTGTCGATACCTTGGATACAAAGAAAAGGGATCATTGAAGATTTTTCAAGCGAGAGGAATGATTGTGGGATGTGCAGGTGCCGGTAAAACAACACTTCTTCGCCGCATGATAGGCCAAGACGTTAAAAAAATCAAAGATGAAGTAACATCAACTAGAGGTCTTCAGATTTACAGAAGTGTGTTTGTATTGGACAACCATTCTCTTATCAGTTTGAACAAAAGTAAGTAAAAGAAATAACAAACAAAAAAAATTGAAGACATCGAATAATAACGTAAAACATTTTCACAAAGTCCAATAATAATATCATTTGTGAGCAGATGAAACATTGACTTCTGAAAACAGAAATGGATAAGGTGCCATGGAGGAGTACGAATCTCCCTATCGACCGATCATATCCGCCGTGTTGACTTATAAATGGTTCTTAATATCTCTGTATCATCAATGTATGTGTCGATAGCTTAACTCTGTTCAAAATTAATATAACGTAGCTCTTTCGTATTCAATTAGGTGGAGCACAATAATTTTATAGAGTTAATTCTCTATAAGCTGCTTTTCTAACTCCTTACAAAAATATTAACTGCTTAAAAGGAGAAACTTCAGGCATACTATGCTACTGCCTATTCCCAAAAGTATGTTAATGATATGTGAATGATTAAACGCTGGCTGTTTTGCTCTATTTCAGCTTAATTCAAATGACACTCCACTACATCTTATGCTCTTCCACTGAACGAATGTATGTCGTGTTACCGAATATAAGTTCACACTTTCCCTTTTTGGTTTGATTTGTTACTGTATATACATGTATATGCGTCCAGAATGTATGTTTTTCTTCCTTTTTTAACTGCTTCTTATAGTACCCGGTATTATGATCATTTCTACAGTCGGGGATTTCACAGGATGAAACTGACATTTTAGTTAACTGAATGGCAGGGTTTTATCCTGTGTTTGAATTTCTTTTTAATAGAAAAATTCTTGTTTTATGTAGGCGAGAAAACCTTATTAAGTAAGAACGGACAGCTAACATGGAAAATCCGGGAAGAGGGAGGGGAGGGGCTGTTTATCAAGGCTAAACTATACTTTTGGTAAATTATTGACAAGCAAGTTGATGAAACAAGAATATCAGCCGTCTCGTTTATAGTCAACCTATCGTAAGTTCTATAGTCGATACCATGACCTTGTCAGCAAATACAATTTATCATTAAGTCAAATGCTGACGACGTGTTTCATAGTAATTGTTATTCCAGTAATTATAGACTGAATTGACGACGGATTTTTTGTTGTTTCCTGGTCATGACAAGGAGCACACGGCGAGTGTGACCGGTCAGCAGGGGATGCTTACTCCTCCATGGCACCTGATCCCACCTCTGATGTTTCGGAGGTCCGTGTTTGCTCTGCTCTTGTTTTGTGGACTTTGAGATAGAATACTGTTCGTTATCTCCATATCCTTCTTCTGTCAACTTCCTTTTTTAATGCAGGGAAATCCCCAATATCCCCTTCTTTCACTTTTCAACCTCAAGTTTTTTGTTACTTGAAAAAATCCGTCTCAAATTAAAGTAATTTTTTTAGTCGCGCGTAACACAACTTAGATTTATGATCTCAGTGACGCCATAAAGGGTCGACGCGTTTCGGATTTATGGAATTTGATTTCGTAACGAACCAGTATATATTTTCCTGATTTAATCGATGCTCAAAAATGCTACCTTATTTCTTAAATCAGTAATCTTGTCAGTACGTACAGTTATCATTGAGATAAATGCTGACTGACGTTTTTCATACCAATTGAAATTCTATTATGTATACACTGAATTGCCGACGGATTTTTCCGTTATTTCCCGATATGAGCGCAAGGCGGGCGCGGCCATTCGGCAGGGTATGCTAACTCCTCCATGACACCTGATCCCACTTCTGATGTTCTGGAGGTCCGTGTTTGCTCTGCTCATATTTTGTATTGTTTTATAATTTAAGTTTGTTTGTATTCTCGCCTCTCATTGGTTGATTTAAAAAAAGGAACGCAAATTATTTGTATAATCTGGTTTGGTATGGGGACACAATCCCTTCACGACCAGCTTAAATATCTTAACCATGCAATTCCCTCATTTCCAGTTCTCGGAATCCATCGAAAACTCCAGATTTAACAAATGTACCTTTAACTTCAAACAGTTACTGATCTTACCTCATGTAAACAAACATCATGGCTGCTAGATCTATGCATCAGTTATTACATGTAGCTCCCCTTGCTTCCCATGACTTCTGTTACTACGGTTGTATTATTGTGCGGTAAATTTGAACTCATAAAATGCAACACAATTTTGCATCCAAAGTTGTTTAATCATTTTAACATTAAATCACAAGGAAGACTCAAATTCTTGGCAAAATTACAATTTCAAGGTATTTGAAACTTTTGTCTTTGAAGTTATGTCAAGCAAACACATGTTTGTGAGACTGTATATACAAACGCAAAC